GCTGGCGGCTGTGCTGGCGTTGGCGGCTGGTTCGCGGATGCCCTGCGCTGCAGGCCCCTTGAAACCTCGGGCCGTGCACTTTTTGGGCTGCGGGCGCTGGATCCACTTCGGCGTCTGCGGCAGCGGCGGTTGGTCGGCCCGAGTCGCTGCATGCGAGGTCGACTGGGTGCAGGGTGCTGGCGTGGATCGAGCGGTGACTGGCTGGCGTCGGCTGGCTGCTGGCGTCTGCGGCTGCTGTTGCTGCTGCTGGCGTCGGCTGGCTGCTGGCTGCTGCTGATGACGTGCTGGCGTCTGGCTGCTGCTGGCTGCTGGCGTCGGCTGGCTGCTGGCGCCGGCTGGCCGGCGTCGGCTAGTCCTCGTCCGCGTAGTAGTTCGCCGCCTCGTCCGCGTAGTAGCTCGCCGCCTCGTCCTCGACTGCGCAGTAGCTCGTCGCCTCGTCAGCGTAGTAGCCCGCCTCGTCCGCGCAGTAGCCCGCCTCGTCCTCGCCCTCGCCCCCGGCCCCCGCGTCGCCGCCTTGTCCGCGTAGTGGCCCGCCTCGTCCGCGCAGCAGCCCACGTCGTCCTCGCCCTCGCCCTCGGCCTCCGCCCGCGCGGCCTCGAGCGTCGCCGCGCGCGCGGGCCGCCGCGGCGCCGCCCCCCGCCCCCGGGGCCGCGCGCAGTCCGCCGCGAACGAGGCCTGCCATCGGCGCTGGCACTCCAAATACCTCGCGACCGCCTCCGCGTCGCCTAGGGCATGGGCTGGCGGCCCAGGAAGCCGCCGGCCCAAGCCGCCGCCCGACGTTGCCGCCGCCGGCCGCCGCCGCCGCCGCGCAGAGCCGCTCTGGCCCTGGCCCTGGCCCTGGCGCAGAGCCGCGCGCGGCCACGGGGGGGGGGGCGCGAGGAACGGGGGAGGGGCGGGGGGGGGGTCGAAGGAGGAGGACGGAGGAGGGAGCGACGACGACGACGTCTCCGTGCCTTCCCGCCCTGCCAGGTGCACCGGCAATTCCACCGCGAGACAACTGACGGCACTCGAGCTACATATTTGGACATGTGAGAAGGGGGCACGGGCTCTTCACAAGACGCGGGGCCTGAGACCCCAGTGCCCAACGAAAACTGGAAGCGTCAGTGGGTCTCATGGCGGCGCCGACGACGACGACGACGACGACGACGACGCCGCCGACGACGACGACGCGGCCGCCCACGCGGGGCCCCCCCGGGGCCCTCTCGGGGGGGGGGCCCGAATCCCCCTCGCCCCCCCTCTTCCTACGGCAGGCCAAGCTTTAGGCACTCGCGCTGCCGCCCAATGCGATTTCAGCGAGGAACCGCTCGACGCGCATCGCAGCCCCAGAACTTATGGAACTTATGGAACTTACTATTTAACTCTACTCAAGATCATAAAACTTTAATGCATAATGAACTACGTTGCCTAAGTCCAATATGTTCTACCTCAACACTACAAAGTCCCCCGCGTAGCTCAAGCGCCGTCAGTTGTCTCAGCGGGCGAGGGAAGCGTCTCCGAGAGGTCCCTGATGAGGAGCGACGGACACATGACTCCCAGTCTCTTTTGTGGGCTTTGCGTCTGCCCATGGATCGGTGGACTGAGCTGCTGGGCGCCACCCGGCAGACGGGGAATACCCCCTCAAACCAATCCAACTGAGCTGGGCGGGCCCACTTCGGCACATATGCTTCGAGCTTGGATCCTTGTTTGGGTAGGTAGCCCGCGAAATCGTCCCCGACGTTTTTGTCGGCCTGATGCGAACGGCCCCAGACAAAATCACACAATAGTGGTTGCGAACTTGCTGATAAAAAAGTTCCGAGCGGGATAAGCCAGGAGAGCGTGTTCTCGCGGTCGTATATTTCCCTCGGCGGCTAGGCTCGCGCATTTCGCATCGGCGCGGGTACATAAGTTGTTTCCAAGAGGGGTCCAAAACGGATCGGATCGCCATCGTTTACTGGCACCTGGTAGAGACGATGCAGCTAGTTGCTGCTGGCCCTGTTCCAGAAGCCAAACGCCGAGCTCGATCGAGGCCGCGATCTCGGCCGCGCCGTTGGTCGCGCGAGCAGCGCCGAAGGAGGCCTCGCGCCGCGGGTCGTCCGTGACGGGCCCACTGGTGAATGGCAAAGCCTGGGGCCAGACGGTCGGGGGCATCGCACCCCTGAGGGAAGCAAAAAAAAACATCCAGCCGTTGCTTCCACTCTTTTCGGGGCGCGACGCCCCTCGGCGAAGCCCCCGTCGGCCCAGATGCGCCGGGCCCAGGGGCCCCTCTCAGGCTCGGGCTCTTGCCCTAGAGAAAGAGGGGGCCCCTGTTCATCACAGATCTTCTTGGGGCAGACAGCGCCCTGCATTCTCCGCCCCAGCGAGGAACGGCCTGAGCGGAACCTGCGCGGCGGGAGCCGCGCCTTGAAATCCTGCAGCGCGACGCAGATCGGTCTGCGGTCCGACTCCCTGAGCAGCGCTCTGATTATATTCGCCCGCGTTGTGGTAAGGAGGTATATGGGCACAGGCGAGGAGGATGCTCTACGAGCCCCACCTGAGCCCCACGGATATTGCTTCACCCCGCTGTTTGAAAGCGGCGTCGGCGTCGCCCTCGAACGAGCGATGGGCGATGATATCAATCCCTCTACGCCCCTTATAGGAGCTCGAAACAAATGCGATGCGGCCGCCGCCCGCGGCACCATATCTGGAAGTCCTCGGAGCAGACTGCCACCTGAAGGATAATAACATCCCAAGGCTTCTCCGCCCCCAGGTCTGCGCAAAAAAGACCTTGAATTCATGCTCGATGCTTCGCACAGTCCATGAGGGAGCTCGTAGAGCACCGCCCATGGGACACTGTTGGTCCCACTTCTCAGAGCTTCTCCACATTGATGTCCTGCTGCGGCGCGCCATTGGAACAAAGCTCGAATAGCCCCATGGACCTGTTCGCCTCGTGCAGCCTCGTGACCTGGCCGTCTCTGGAGCGGAATCACACGACGCTTCCGTCCCAGTCCCACGGCACTGCGTGTAGAATGCCCTCCCTCGTAGGATTTGGCCCGAGGGTGTTCGCTTCCTGCGCGTGTTTCACGGCGATGTTGCGGGCGGCCGGGGTCCTCTTACTCATCAGTCCCTCAATGCTGTCTTCTATGGAAGAGGTTCTTGCCCTGGAAATGGAACTCGTGACCTTTCCAGGCCTTCCGGGAGGTCCACATGTTCTGGGAGGATATGAACTCGATCTTGCCGAACGAGGACAGCGGCCCTGGTGTGTAGATGTCCTCCACGAGGCCTGGTCACGTCCATGCTGGAAACTGGGGATTCAACGCCACAGTCTTACGTATCTCTGTAAATATCGCTGCCTCCTCGGCGTCTGTCGGAAAACCACCCACAACAATAATCTGGCGACGGGTCTTTGGTACCCAACCCTGCCCACGACTATAGAGGTTGCCCGGGTGACTGCCACCAGACCCTCACCTCGGGCACCTCCCACATCTCCTGCCAGTGAACTATTCAATGCCCCCCCCCCATACTCCAGGGCGGCTGTCTTGCCCATGAGGTCCTGCACATTAATGTCGGTCTTGTCTACGCAGGGGGAGAGCGAGTCTATTCTGGTGGTTATCAGGCCCACCTTCAGATTCATGTTCGTCTGCTGGGTGCGCACGTTCTCAACATCTCGTCTGATGCTGCTGAAATCTGGATTCAGGACCATCGCAGCTGCCTCACGACCGAGACCGAATAGTCGGATCGAGCGTCACTCCTTCACCTGGGGTCCCTGGAGCACGGGCCCCTCTTGCGTCACCACCGAGGTCCATGATGTCACCCACGCGCGCCCACTGGAGCAGAGGCTGCCCCGCGACCTCCTCGCCGAAGAGGTCTCCCATCGCACGAAGGAAAGCTTGCAAGACCCAGGTTCGGGAATAATAAACTGAATGGAAACAGGGGGCTGCAAGAGCCCCACGTCGCGCGCTCTCTGGGGTCCCGAACAGAACTTGAGCTAAAATGGGTGCGCGGGTGATGATGACGACGATGATGTGGATGACCGATGGTCTTGATGGGATCCTGACATGGTATGAGTGAGTGATGGGAGCAAGTGAATGAATGATAATGTGGATGAGGATTGGTGAGGATGTAATGGGATGACAGCTGATGATGATGATGGTGATGATGATGATTGTGATGGCAACGGTGATGAGGATGATGATGATGATGATGATGATGATGATGATGATGACGATGACGATGACGGTGATGATGATGACGACGACGACGACGACGACGATGATGATGATGATGATGATGATGACGACAGCACTAATGAGGGTGGGTGAGTGGGTGAGGAGGAGAGCGGGTGAGGAGGAGGACTGCGCGGGGTGCCCAGAAAACAAACAAAAACACGTAGGATGTGGGGGAAATACCCGAAGAGGCGCCCGAACGACCAAACAGAGCTTCCAACAGATCAAACAGAAGCCCACCAGGCCTTCTAGAAATGCTACAATCACTCAAAAACTAGAGACGCCCTGAGTGTTTGAATATGCTGCGTATCCTGTGTCAAGCGGCCCAACATGGCTCCAACAGCGCCCCAGAGAAGCCAGAGAGAGGCCACGAGAACCCCAAAAGTACCACCACACGATCCCCAACCGGGCCAGGACGACTCCAAGAGGACCCCAAAGCGGCCCAAGCCCAAGAAGGACCCAGGACAGCATTCGGGGGACCCCAAGGCCTGGGAGGGACCCGAAAGGCTCCCAAGACAACTCCAACAGACTATCCAAACGGCTGAGAAAGGCCCAAAAACGCACCAAGACTGCGCAAGAGAGACCCGATACGACCCTGGAAGAATCCAATACAACCACACCCCACACGAACCCAATACAATAACAAAACTGCCCAGGTGGCCCCCGTGAGAACCCTGCAAAAAAAAGACTAGATGGGATCACATGTTACGGCCTCTTTGACGTGCCTGGTGCTCCAAGACGTCGAACAAGTGCAGCGCTGGCATGGCAGCGGGACTTGCTGCAGGCAGTGGGTACAAGTCAGGAGGGTGGCTGCATCTCCTTACATGAGCAGCCTGAGCAGTCGCAGTAGTACTCTCTCTCCAACACATCGCAGGTTGCTTCTGCACGCGCGGGAGCAATAGAGTGTGAAATTGAATGGTCGCGTGGCAGCTAGATTGCGCAACCTGTGGAGGTACCATGCATCATGTAAGCAAAGCGCATGGTTCCCAACGCTCGCCAATGCGCGGGACACACTAGGTGGAGCCCTCGTTGCAACACTGCGGGCTGGCCCGTAGTGTCCAATGCTCGTACCATGCATTGTAGCAGGCGTGAGGGATGCAGGTGAATGATCGTTGTAGCGAAATGTACGACGCAGTGGCCTTGGAGCACAAAGACATGACAACCAACTAATACAAGCACGACGATCTGCGCATCGCAAGTTCTGAACGAAACGAGCACACCTGACATAGCCGCGGCGGCTTCGCCGCAACTGGAGAATGCTCCGATGCGAGAAACACAACGACAAAGAACACACCCAACACAATGACCACACACCGCGAACATCCCACGCCCGAAACGTGCACGTTCCGACACCGAAGCACATGCAAAACACTGAAGACTTCATGCGTGTCTCGCCGCTTGAACGGAATAGCGATATGTTTACAAAGAACGTGAGCGACAAGCAAGAAAGGGGTGTGGCGACTCTACACGGTGGTCTACGCAAACTGACAACGCGACACACCGCGTGGGACAGACGGCGCTCACGCGCGACCTCACGCGGTAATATTACGCGCGAGTGCCCTTGATCGAAGCTCGTGTGATAACAGCCTGAAAATAATTCAACGACAATGGTCGATGTCGCGTGCTCGGGGCTGCGCCCGTTGGCGCCTGAATAAGGCCCGAACGCGCCCACCGCGTGGGTAGAGCGTCACATATGGCCCGAGATGACCTCCATGTGCCATCTGATAGCCCAAGATGTCTTCAAAGATGGCGCAAGGTGCCCCAAACTTGCTCAAATGGCTTCGAACATGCCACCGTGATGCCCCGATATCCACCCCAAGAAACTCCAAACGTCCACGAACCCTCGTAGATCATGCTGGATCCGAACTCCCAATGCCACGATCCCTTGTAAATCACGGTGGGTCCGCGCTCACAGGACCGCGATCCATGCAAATTGGGTCCGCGCTCCCAGAGCCAAAATCCCTAGTAGAGATATTGGATCCGCGCTCGTTCAGGCCACGATCCCTTGCACAATACGCTGGATTCGCACCCCCAGCGTCGCGATCCTTGCACTGGATCCGCGCTACCAAAGCCACGACCTCGTGTTGATTACGCCGGCTCCGTGCTCAAATGGCCGCGATCGGTCGATTGCCCTTGGTCGCTCCCAGGGCCTATTGACACCTCAGTACCCTGTTGCGCATTGTGGAATCCATGCGGGGGGCTCGCTCAACTCAAACGGGCACGCACGGTCTGTTTGGTGTTCGTTTTCTAAGACGCCTCTGGATGCTGGTTTTTGATGGAGAAAATGCAATCGACACATCCCCCCTGTGCTGTACGTAAATGGGACGGAGCCAAACCCCATTATTGTTGGAAGATCCGACGTGGGGGGGAACACTTTCCGCGAGTGGACCAGCATGAGATACACTCAAAAAACCCAGCAAATTCACACCATGCTCATTGATGACATGTCCAACATGGAGCCAGGAACCGGCCACATAACTGAAAGAGAACCCCGAGCCAACGCCATTTCTGGAAACAAATTGGCCCCTGGAAATTCGACGATGTCTGCTAAAGACGACGCCCAAGGGCTCACTGGGCCAGGGTCCGACCAACGGGACTCCCTTGGCGCCGACGCCGACGTCGACACCGACGCCGCAGCCGCCGCCGCCGCCGGCGGCGGCTAGGCGGCGGCGGCTGCGGTCTCGCGCCCGCGTGCGCAGCCGGCGGGGCCCGCCTCGGGCCGCAACGTAGGCGTCGCAGGAGTAGCCGTAGCAGCTCGGCTCGCAGACCGCCTGGTCGTCGATTGGGGGACGCGGCCCTGGGGCACCTCCCTTCGGTACAGGCCGCCCAGATGGGGTCCGAGTTGATGGGGTTGGATGATCGCGCTGCATCGCCGATGCATTGGCGATGCGGCGCGATCCTGCGACCCCATCGGATCCGACCTCATCAGGGAGGCCTAAACAGGAGCGCCTCCCATCGTGGGCCGTTCGGGGAACTTCCACGGCACTTGACGGCGACTCCCTTTACATGTTGGCAAATTCACTTGCGTGGGACAAAAATAGGGGCGGGGGGCGATGCCCCAAAATGGATCTGGACTTAACGCAAGCCGGAACTCAGTTGCACACCGCTTCGGCCTAGCATGTTTCGACAAGGCGGCGGAGAGGGGTGGGTGGGTGGGCGGGCGGGGGAATGCCATGCAAAAGAAGCTGCATGTATCTAAAAACTGTTAAAATGCGTGCACTCAAAACTGTCTGTTTTTTCTCGCAACCTATGCTGTGCAATCAGCGTGGCTTAAAAATGTGGCGCGATCAACGTTTTGCAACCTATGCTGCGCGATGTACGTTAGGCCGCATATTTTGCGGAACACATGGTGTGCCTTATTTTCTGTGGAGCAATGGGCGTGGTGCAATGTATCAGGTGCAACCTATGTGGTGCAGTATATGTTGTGCATGTCAGTGTGTGCAGTATCTGTGGTGTAATATTTGAAATGTGCGGGGCAATAATGTGTGTTGTGCGCAATATACGTGGTGCACTCTATGTTGCCCAATATGTGGTGCAATCTTTGTGGTGCACAATATGATGTCCCGTTAAGTTGTGAGAAAATGTGTGGTGCAAAGTGCGGCGACAAAAAAAATGCGCAACATACGTGGTGCAACCTATGTGGTGCAATGCGCTTGCCGATCTTACAATTGACAATTCCACTGCTCGCGCAATCATCCCACCACCCACCCGTAACTTGGTTTGCAAAAGCCCATGCGGGAGCGATTGCGATGAGTGCTGGGCGTTGGCTGGTGCATCTTTGCGGCCAGGCTAGCCCGCGCATGCTCGCGCGCGCAGCGGCCAGCTAGTTCGGCGTGGCCGACGCGAGCGCGGTGGCGCTGACCGCTCGGCACATCCCAGCGGGCACTTCAGCGCGAGTCGGCGACTTGGGCGGGCGCGGTACCATGGCAACGACGACAACGGTAGACACGAAAATGATAGTAGCGATGCTGGCGGCGATGCTGACAGCAACGACGGGGCAGGCACAAACGAGGCGACGATCACACCGACGACGATGACGGCGTCTTCGCGTCGGCGATGAGGGTTTTGAGCGGAATTCGACATGCGCGCGCGGCACCGGCATGCGCGCGCGACGACGCGCGCGTGCGCATTTCGCATCGTTTTTGTCGCAAGGGTTTCTAGCGACGGCACGCGCGCAAAGGCGATCGAACAATTTCAACATGCCCCCGCGCGAAGCCCGCTTGGTAGCATGTTATGAACATGCGGAAACACTCACGAGTTCATCAAAAATTCGCAAGACGTGCGCACGCTTTTGTTGAGCATCCGGGTTACGAAACCCTGTGCTGTTGCACGTTGTTTAAAAACTCGGCTTCGAAATCCTTCCGACACCGAATGTTTTTGAAGGGTTCCGGCATGCGCGCGCGACGACGCGCGCGCACTTCGCCTCGTTTTTGTTGCAAGGGTTTCTAGCGACGGCACGCGCGCAAAGGCGTTCGAACGATTTCAACGTGCGCCCGCGCGAAGCCCGCTTGGTAGCATGTTATGAAAATGTGGAAAGCACTTATGGTTGTCTCGAGAATGCGCAAGACGTGCGCGCGCTTTTGTTGAACATCCGGGTTGCGAAATCCTTTATTGCTTGAATGCGTTGTAAACGCTGGATTTTGGGATTCTGACGAAATCGAAAGTTTTTGAAGCTTTTCGGCGCGCGCGCGCGACGACGCGGGCGCGCGCACTTTGTCTGCTTTCTCGCGCAAGGGATTCTCGCGACGGCACGCGCGCAAGGGCGCTCGAACAATTTCGGCGCGCGCGAGGCCCGCGTGGTAGCAGTTTATGCCTGTTTATTTTTTAAAAATAAAGAAAACGCAAGAGCGCGCGCACCTTTTTCTTTTGTTTCGGTGTTGTTGAACAGATGTTGCGAACCTCATGTTACATCATGCATTTAGGCGCTCGATTTTGAAATCATTCCGAAAAAAGATAGTGTTCGCTGGATTCCGGAATGCACGCGCGACGACGCGCGCGCGTGCACCTCGTCGCATTTGTTGCGAGGGATTCTTGAAAATTGATGATTCCGGATCAACGAGCGCGCGCGTAAAATTTGCTGCGGTGGATGGCGGGGGGGGGGGCGGCCCCCCTGGGGCGGTGCAAATTCATACTAAGGATGGGCGATGGGGAAGAATCATACGCAAATTGCATCGCGAAAAAATGGGCGGTTAAGTCCAGGGGTGGGTGGGGGGGAACTCTCATGGTGAGAAAACAGAATATGCGCGCGGCAAGCTACGCGGCGCGCGCAATGCGGCGCGCGTTCGCCCATGCTCGCAGTGAATGGTCACATCCGCTGCCCGCGAAATCCCCCCGCCATCCCACCCGAAATTTGGTTTAATAAACCATGCAGCGGCGGTTGCGGCGAGCGCGCGGCGTTGGCCGGCGCGTCTGGGCGGCCGTGCAAGCCCGCGCGCCCTCGAGCGCGCAGCGGCCAGCTATTGCGGCGCGACCGACGCGGCCGCGGTGGCGCTGGCCGCGGGGCACTTCCCAGCGGGAACTTCAATGCGAGTGACTTAGGCGGGCGCGGCACCATGGCGACGCCGACAGCGGCGCGCGCGATGCTGGAAATAACGATAATGGCGGCGACGGTGACTGAGGCGGCGATGGCGACGGCAATGCCCGAGACGGCGCCGAGGTTGAGAACGCCCGCCGAAAACGATGACGACGTCCTCGCGTGGGTGATGAAGTTTTTGGAAGGAGTTTGACACGCGCGCAAGGTCGACGCGCGCGACTGGCCCGCGCGGAAGCACGCGGCGCGGCCCGCGCCCCCTCCCCCCCCCCGCCCCCCAGCGCGCGCGCAGGGGTGCTCGGATGGGTTCGATCTGCGGCGCGGAGCCAGCTTGGCAGAATTTGATGGCAAAGTTGGAGAAACGATGATTGCTTTCAGAATTCGCAAGAGCGCGCAGGTTACAGTAACAACTGATGTTTCAACGCGATTTGATGTCATGTGTGTTCGAGGCGCTACAGTGAACGCTTCGCCCCAGCATGTGAAAAGAAGGGCGTTTGCGAACGCGCGGGTTCAAAGGACTTTGACGCGCGCGCGCGAGGAGGCCCGCCGGGTGCAATTGCATGAACCTGCACGATCGCGAGACTACGCTTTGTTGCTTGAAACCCGTGATACGAAACCATGTGTTGGGATATCGTTCGGTCATTTCTAAAATATACATTATATATACATATATACACACATAAACGATTGAAACGCGCGCTCGCGACGACGCGAGCGTTCCACGCCGCCCTGCCTGTTGCAAAAGTTCGCGGGAATTGATTAGTTCTGATCAACGGGTTCGCGCGCGAATCATTTCTTGCAGAGGGTGCGAGGGGGGCGCCGGCCTGCGCGGGATAGTCCGGACTCATGCTTAAGATGGACGATGGGGCAGAATCATCTGTAAACTGCGCCCCCCCAGAGGGGGCCGATAAGCCCCGGGGGGGCATGCCCTCGCAATCTTGCAGGAACGAGAATCTATGCGAAGCGGCGACGGGGAGGCGACGGAGAGCACGGAGCCGCCAAACCGACTACCCCGCCCTGACAGCCCCGCCCGAAGGACGGCCGGCGGCGAGACGGCGATGGGGCGGCGGCGGCGAACACGGAGCCGACAGACCGACAAATTTACCCCAGTCCCTTAGGAGACAAGTAAGAAACCCAAAATGCAAACACTGTTCGAACAAGAAACGCCTTCCTTGAAACCTCTTGCGGGCCGTCGGAGCCCTGCGGCAACTTTTGGAGCTTTCCGCGATCCTTCGGCCTCATCTAGTCGGATCCAACATGGGAGCAAGAAGGGCCGTGAAATCCGAGCAGATACCATGGCCCCAGCCATGTAATCACCCGCCCCCATAAATTTGTTTTGTTGTTTTTTCCTCGCCGGGTGCAAATGTACGCCGTTCAGACCGTCGCGGCGTGTGCCTCGATCTTGGGCGCATCGAAGATTCCGCCACCCCGCGTGGGGTAATGAATGGCGACGACAACATCATGGATGAAATCAATGATCGTCATAGAAGAGGCGTCTGGCACGCGACTTCTCAGAACCCCTCTTGACCCAGCCGGGGGCTATTTCTGGGTCGACACTCGGAGGTGCCCGTATCCAGGAGGAAGGATGACAGCATAGTCGGTGGCGTCTTCACGCCCAGCCCAACAGGTCTGTCGCGTTTAAAATTGATCCACGCAGCCGGACATTTACTGCAATGTTCGATGCTGTCGTCGCCGCTATTGCAACCGAGTGGACACTGCGACGGCTCGTCGACGCCGCCTTTCCCTTCGTGCCTCATACAACGACGGGTGTCCCAGCCATTGCACAACGGGGGTATGCTGACGCCACACTGGGTGGGTACCGCCTATACAGAATTTCGGAAAAAAAACCTGGTCACGCGCAACAAGTGCTGCCGCGTCGCATGCAAACTTCCACCGGGCCAGCTTGAGAGCAATGAACTGTAGTTGGTCAGGTCGGCACTGACGACTGATCAGCTCGGTTGCAATAGACTGGAAGCTGGCTGAACCATTCCCCGCAGGGCCGTTCAGCACCCTCTGGATCGGGCAGCAGCTGATCCCGTCCTTCTCCAATTGCTGCTCTGTCCGGTGCACGACTGCGAACAAATAGTTGGCGTGCCATCTCCCGAACGGGCCTTGCAGTACTCCTTCGCTCAGCATGCGAAATTATTCTGCTCGCGATTTGCAATCCAGGGCGACATTTTCAATCACTTGCGGCTTAGCGGGAAAGGGAAACTTGAACCCGCATGCCTCTCGTAAGTTGCATAAGTCTTCGAGCAGAATCAAATTTCCAGGGCCCGGAGCCAAACGACGTAACGCCCACGAACAATCTCACCCATGGCCTCGGACAAGTCCTCAAGCTGCATCACGCAAAACATGCAAAACTAATGAAAGTGTTGAACACAATTCTGTTCAAAAAAATCCGAGGCGTCATTAATTCTGTATGCGTTTCGTGAATTTCCCTCGGGTGGGTGGATTGTCCCATGACAGATTTTTTGGCGCCGGGCACCACCCAGTAACCGAGGTGTGTTCAGCGAGCGGAAATCAGAATGTCCCTCCATTTCGGCGCCATCTCGCGAATGAACGACCTCACGTTAGACTCCGGCTGGAAGCGCCAAAGTGGGTTACATACTGTATTGAGAGCCAACCGGGATATCTTTCCAATTCAGAGAACAGCTTGCTGATAACTGGGGCCGCCACAGTCATGACCCTCCCTCTTGGACGGCCCCGAAGGCAATTCGGAGGACCTCCGCGAAACTTCAAACCAACTATTCGCGGGCCTTCGGAGCCCCTGCGGCGGCCTTCGGGTTTTTTTCGGAAGCCTTCTGTTGCAAAGGGACCGACTGTCCCGCCGTTCTTACAGGCCTACCATAAAATGTCGCCGAGACAGGCGACTGTTCCAAGACAAGAGAAACATTGCTTGGACATAAGGCTGATGTTGTGAAAGGGAATGATACCAGCCCGAAATATTCTAATAACATCTCGCGCAAACCACACAAGGTTCTTGGAAGATTCTCTGTTGATTATTGCGCGGCCTTCGGAAGCCCTCGGCGGCCACATCGGGGGACGGTACGGCCCCGCGGCTGCTCCATGCAAAACGTCGGGACCTGGACGCGGGGGACGAGGAGGGCTGGCAAGCTTGGCGTGCTCGACCCACGGATCTGGAAATTTGCGACATCGCCATGGGAGCACTTGGAGCGCACCGAGTGGCACAAGCAAACCACGGGACAACCACGGGGGAACCACAGGACGACCACGGGACAACCGCGGGACAACCATCAAGATAACCATCGGGACAACCGCGGGACAGCCACAAAACCACAAAACAACCACGGGACAACTAAGGGACAACCACGGGACACCGCGGGACATACATGGGCACGCCCTGGAGGGCGGGGATCCGACGCATTTTGGGCCCTGGCTTGTGCAGGAACACGCGCAGCTTCGCCTCGCCCGCACGTCACGCACGGCAAACAACGAATCGAAGCCGATTTCCCAGCTGGGGGACTGCGTGTCACGTCGGCCTCATCCTGATCTCTGCTACATATTTACATCGACTTGTACAAGCACACCCGCTCACGGTCAACACACAAACACATACGTACATACAGGCGCACACAAAAAAATGCACGCATATTCCGATGTTGGCGGCATTGCTGTATGAGAAGCTGAGTTCCGTGGAACATCTGATGCGATGCGCAAAACGCAACATAGAAAACAGGCTGGCAGTATCACACCCACGCACGCATCAACACATCCGACAGCCGATCATGAGCGTCAGCGCCACGATGACCAACAGCAAGGCAAACATCCATCCACGTCGCAAAATACATGATTCCGATACAAACAAAAGCAACATGGCTGGCACTGCGGAACAGGCATGCCGTGGGCCTCCGGAGCAGGCGTCGGGGCCTGTGCACAATCTCCGTCCTCCCTCTCTCTCTGTGACCTGCCCATGCGATGACAGGTACCAGAACGGCCAAAGCCTGAGGCCCTCGCGGGGTCATGTTCCTGGGCTGACTTCACAGAGAATGCCAGAAACTATACGTTATGAAAAGCTGGCTCCTTGAGGCACCTGCGGTTCGATGCTGCCTTGGCCAGCGAGGCCGATGTGTGCTCTAGAGAATACCTTCCCTTCGCCGTCGCCGCCGCCGCCAGCAATGCCCCCACGCTTCCACGAAGGCGCGTTCGAGCCTCCGCGGCAATCTGGCTGCGCGCGAGAAGCACCCAACGATCCCCTCAGCCACATGAGGGTTCCGATCTCCCATCACGACGGCTGCCTCACCCAATCGAGCGAGCGCCGAGGGCCCGAAATGCAAAACAATCGCCACTGGCAATAATTGCAAGAACATCGCATGATGAGACAAGACGCACGCAGCCGCCTCGCCAGTGTATTGTATTGGCGATGAACAGAGAGGCCTCACCAATGAGATCGGTTCGAGAAGACATCGAAAACGCTAGGGCCTCCTGGCCTATTGGGTCTGCTCTGTCCGCGCCCCCTGTGGACATTCCCAGGGAGAGCCACTACTCCCTGCACTTCACATTCAGACAGGGATTGAAGTCGAATCCTGTCGTGGCGACGAGGAGCCCGCAGGACATGTAATGGTATGTCTGTACCATCTGAATGTCGACTGCCGCCGCAGCAATCAATCCTGAAGCCACGCCAGGAAGGCTTCGGCCAAGCCCGCAAATAAATTCCATCCCCCGAGCCCCCATATCCGCAGAACTGCCTCTTGCACGTGGTGGATTACCCCGCGCATGCAATTGTAAGAGAGGTACAGCCGAAACGTGAACTCGGGAACAGGTATCAAAAACATGAGCCCCATGCCTAAGCACGAGCTCAGCATGGGTGACACGAGGGCGCCCCTCATAAACTAGGGCTTCTCTAAACCATAGCGCAAGCTGTGAAGGTATTGCAGCTGCACCTGTCTGGAAGACCCACGCGCTCCGTCTCACGGAGTTCTCTGGCGTTCCCGGGCGCTGCCTGAGAGGATGCGCCGGGCCAGGTGCACAGGTGAAGGCCCCACCAAAGACAAAGCGAAGGGCCCATACGTCACCCCACGACCCCCTGGAGATACCTGGAGGCCTGGAGGCCCGTGGAGGGCCCCAAGGCATGGTGGCGGGATAGGCCGGAAGCCACTCGGCATCTGCCAATGTTGAGTATCATTATGACCCATCCTGTGTTGTTGAACCCCCGCTTTGAAGGCGCAGCGTCACGCGGCTCCGCCTCTGGTATCCTTCCGCATGTCCAGTTCGGCGGACCACTCACACGCTTCGTGCACCCATTGGGAGCTTCAACTACGGCCCAAGACGGCGCGTCCGCATGGCGGCACCCTGCTCATGTCAGCATACCCCAGGCGCGCTTCGTGCCCGTGCAGGGAGCTCCACTCACAGCCCTAGTGGGCGCGTTCGCACAGCGGCACCCCGCCCGTTTCGGCATACCCCTCAAGCGGTTCGTTCCCATAGGGAGCTCAGCATACGGCCCCCGTAGGCGCGTCCGCATGGCAGCACCCCGCCCATTTCGATGCACAGCAGCCAGTTCTCCCGCAACACGACATGTTTGAATAGAAATAGAGGACCATGCACTGAGCGACACGCATTTGAAGAGGGCTGGGTTCTTCTCAAAGCTGGCTTGCACATGCGCAAAACCATTGCTTTATGGCCGCCGAGCCGATAATCCGCCGGCCCCCTTGTGGGGCCAACAGGCTGTAGGACCAAAGGTTGCTGTTCCCTGCGCCAGTTCCAGCTTCCAGTTTCCACTCTTACAGTTCTGCCTCTTGCGGCTTAGTGTTCCTTGTTGATGGACTGCGCGAGGGAGGGAGCCAGAAGGAACCCAGTTACCACGCCCGAATCGCGTGCTCTGAATTCCTGGGGCGTGGGACACGTACAAATACTTGAAATTCGCGCCCCCGAGGCCATACACCCTAGTAGATTACACCAGATTCGCGTCCCAGAGGCCATAGACCCTCATGAATTACAAAATATCCGCGTCCCCGAAGCCATAAACCCACATACGTAACGCAACATATCCGCGCCTCCGAAGCCATAAACCTGCATAAATGACACAGTAGTTGCGACCCCGACGCCATACACCCTAGTAAATTATACAAGAATCGCGTGTCCGAAGCCATACACCCTTGTAAATTACACGATATTCGCGTTTCCGAAGCCATAAACCTGAATACATGACGCAATATTTGCGACCCCGAAGCTATACACTCAGGTCCATTATGCAATAATCGCGTGTCCGAAGCCATACACCCTTGTAAATTACGCGATGCTCGCGTTTCCGAAGCCATACCCCTGCGTACATTACAATGTATTTGCCAGCCCCAAGCCATACACCCTCGTAGATTACACGCTGTTCGCGTATCCGAAGCCATAAAGCCTCGAAATACAACACCGACGTCAACAATACCTTCAGAATCTCAATGTGTCTTGCAGATTACTCACCGTCTTCGCGCGAAGTCCCGACGCTGCTTCACGGCGGCGCAAAAGCCTCATGCTTTCGCTCTTGCATTGCCCCTTATCCGAGAGAGGGGGCCGGCGGCAGGGAGCGAAGCCCTTACGGATTACCTCGCTCAACTCTAATGTCAGACAGGCGTGCAAGCAAACACCTCGATGCAAATGCACTGGTTGGTTGTACCACAACTGTCGGTGTTCCCACCCGTGTTGAATTTGAGAACTCCCAGCGTGAAATAACACCACGGTGGATTCCAAGAGTAACTGTGGTTGTTCACGACGGGGTCGACCCTGGGAAGACCCAGAAAGATGGCAGCCACGTAGCAGTCGGTAGCAGTAGTAACTGGGGCGGTGCACGTCCCACTCGTGGTCAGAACGTAGTCTTCCTGACGCGGCCGTCCGCGAACCAGACTTCCGACGACCCAGTCCTCTCGATCTGACGGCCCGCAAAACACTCGAACCCTTCACCTTTCCGGAATACAGTCAACCAGTATCATGAGGATGCGCGGTGAGGATGCAAGGGCCTTGGAAGGCCATGTCGACACTATGCAAGCGGGACGCGGCCAGCGAAAGCGGCCAAGGATGGGCCGAAGGGGAAGGATGTAAGGGCACTTCTTCCAACCCACCGGTTGGAAGAAGTGAGTAGAAAGACGAAGTAGGAACGCACTGAAAGATGAAGTGTGTTGGGTTTCCGCCCGCCCTCTAACGCAGAAGGAAAAGGGGAATCACTCGATGGTGGAAGTAGACAACCGCCTAAAATATCTTGGACCCTTGGGTCCAACAAATCCCCCGTCAACGACCAGTGGGTCAACTTCTCGACTGCCTCGGGGTCTGACATTGCTCCCTGGAGGCATGCAGAGTTACGAGGGGAGGTGGAGCACTGAAAGCTAATCAGAAGCACTGATCCTCGACCTTCAAGCCTTGATCCTCGAAAACTCGAGCAGAAGGGAAGCGAAGACCTGCTTTCAGCGTGTCGATCCCCAACCTGCAAGCCTCAATCCTCGAACACTCGAGCAGAAGGTAGAGCAAAGACCTGCTTGAAGCATGTGTCCTGGAGCCAGGCCAGGCCCCGATCACCGCCCCTGGATCGGGTGTTCGGGGGGGGGGTTCGGTTCGACCAGAGGAGGGAACGAACAAATAAGCCGTGCCGAGAAGTCACTTCGGCTGCAATGCGAACGGCACGTGCAACAGCAATGAAACTGCACAGCGGCTCGCCAGCTTGGCACACGCGGGAGGGGAGGGGAGGGAGGGGGGAATCGAGAAGGGGAGGACCAGCAGGGGCAATAGCAAGCAGGCAAGCCTCTGCATGAGAGAGAGAGCGGCAACGTTGCCAGCTACTAGACACAAATCTAGATGGCCAGACCCTGTAGCAGGGAAACACAAGCCTGCAACTGGGATTCACTCCCTAGCCTCGGCATGATGGAACCGGGTCCTGGAAATTGGTTGTCATTCTCTGGCCTTCCATGAGGCTTCGGGACCGTCAACAAACACCTCAGGATGAAGACTCGTCCTGGAGAAAGCCTCGGGATCCAGGACTCGGGCTTCATCGAACTCTAAGAAGATCCGACTGCACCCTTACCCAGAACTCATACCGTCCTGCTACGGCTCGACGCAGCTGACATCGAATCCTGGTAGGACAAGATCCAACTCTATTCGCACCTTACGAAGGCTCGGCCTAGCTCGAATAGGATCCGACTGGGGCCGCTCCAGATTAGCAGAATCCTACGAGGGTTCGGTCCAGAACTGAACTGACCCTACGAGGGCCCAGTCAAGCGCTAGCCTAATCCTGCTGGGCCCGATCCAGCTCTGATAGAATCCTTCTGGGGTTCCATCCAGCTCTGGTAGAACCCCACTAGGACAGGATCCCAATCAAACAGAAACCAACTATGGTTCGGAGCAGTTCTAATAAGATGCTAGCCGTGGAATCCTACCGAGGCTGGATCCAACGATATAGTCCTACTTCGGACCAGACCATCTCTAGTAGGACTCCTGCCTGGCCCCGATCCTGCACTAAGACATCCTACGACGGGTTGGTCCAGCTCTGATAGAATCCTAATAAGGGGCTGGATCCAACTCGGAAAAATCTAACTTGGGCTGGATCCAGCTGTCGCCGTCGTCGTCGTCGCCGTCGTTGCCGCCGTCGTCGCCACCGTCGTCGCCATCGATATCGTACTCGACGTCGTCGTCGCCGTCGGAGACAAGGGGGCCCTGTTCGAACCGCCCCCCCCCCCCACCCCACCGCCTCCCCCTTCCAAGCGTCCACAAAACGCCCTCTTTCATGGACTCATACGTATAATTCTGCATACGCATACGCTTCAGTCTTGGCCAGAACCCAGCATATCCCAAGCGCGGGGCGCCTACGAGGCGCCCACGAAGCGGCACGAGCGGCAACGTGGCGCAACCTCGACATACGCCCAAAGCGCGGGGCGCCCACAAAGCGCCCACGAAGCAGCACGGGCGGCACCGTGGCGAGAATCCGGCACACCCATCCAGTTTCGTAAGTAAGCTGCAGATAGGAGGCCCCAGGTGCAAGCACTGTGCTGGGAAGGTGTAGAAACTGATTGCCCGACCATGACAAGGTGTCTGCCCCGCCTGCGCTGCACTGTGTGCATAGTGGGGTCACGTCAGCATGGAATTAGGCGCGCGCGTGGACTGCACTGTTGCTGGGGAACTAGCATGGTCACTATATTGTCGGGAATGCGTGGGCGCGCGTGCCCTCAAATAACGCGCGTGCGCAACTTGCGAAGCATGCAAGAGCAAATCACAATGGTCATGGCGAAGAGTCAGAGATTGACTCATCGGTGCTGCTGCAGATCAAAAGAGCGAGGGCCATGGTTGTCGTAAACTTTGCTGTTCCCGTAACCGACGTAGCCCCAGTCGTGACAGACGATATGTCGTCGAGTGCATCCACCTTTGTCAGAACACCATTCTCCACGGCACTCAAATCGAGGCCATCTGCAATCTGAGCGACGCTTACGCCAGAAAGTCTGGGCGGAACGATTGTCAGAGCAACATCAACGGGAGTCGTAGTCAACCTGCGCCCCGAAGTATGTAAGCTGATACGGTCAGATGTCCACTGCTCCTCAGGGGCGAATATGCATCCGCCATCACATCAACAAGCCCCCACAATGAGAGGCAACGTAAGGGGGGGCCAACTCAGGCGGGAAAGCTTTGACCCGGAATCGGCGATACGTTGCCAATAGATAGGCGATAGGCCCCAATTAGCGAGCCCGCAAGGTCCTAGGCGGGGTGGGCTGTCGGGCCCTCGTCGACGATGAATGGGCAATTGAGGGCCGATGCATCCCCCCATGAGCCTATCCACGTCCTCAATGGCTTTCCGGCCACAACTTGGCCCTCCAAGAGCCGTTCGGGACGACATGGGCACACGGAGGCCCGAAAACCGACGAGAACGGACGACAAGTCCGAAGCCTCAAATCCGAACGCTTCCCCCCCCTGAGCCTGTCTCCCCCTAACGTTGCCCCCGACACCTTCAATCTGGGCCCAGGTCTTGGTGGATGCGGAGTCCCCGGGCCCAAAGGGCAGCCAGCACCCACCCAGACCTCGGCGCCAGACTGGGCCCGCGGAGGCCTGGTGGTGTGTTCGACACGCTCCCAGACCTCTGGCGTCCTGGTCTCTTCAACAAACGTGCGGCTCTCTGAGCTCTCCAGCCCGACTCTCAGACGGGTATCTCGGGGGCGTCCAAGAGGGGGGCGTCTGGGAGGGAGGCTCGCAAATCGTGGCCCGCTACCCGTGACCGGACGCGGGGGGGGGAGGAAACGTGTCGACAAACAAGAAGGGGCCATGAGATCCGGGGACAACTCATGACCGGGCCACGATATTCATTCCTTTTTTGTAATCACCCCCCTCCAAGCCGCTCCCGCGAATTTCGCGCCGTGGGTGGTTTTGTTACAGCCCAGAGCACGACATCTGCCTCCATAGACCACAACTCAGACAAGCTTGCCGTCCATTCCGAAGTCCATAAACAAATGGTTCCCAAACCCCTTCTGGGGATCCACCCTAGCTGTTTCTCGAGCTGCGTCCAACCGTGGCCAAGAGCCTCGGGAAGCGCTGACAAACCTCCGACACGACAAGGAAAAAGAGGACGACGACGCCAACGTCGTCCTCGCTCGTGAAAGGGGAACATATCAATGATTATTCACTTCCTGTTGGTCCGCGTACGCACCGGACCGCGTATTCGCGGATCTCGCCTGGGCATCCACACCGCGAAAGCTTGGTTATGAACATGCTCGTCGCTCATGGTCGGCGTCGGAAAACAGAGAAGTGACGCGAGGGTCGGCCTTCTAAGAAAGCGGCGGGGCGCCTCAGAAGGCTGGCGCTCACTTAAAAGGGCCTGGCAGCGCCTAAGCAGACTTATGAGAACCCTCCATGCCCGTCTCAGAGACCACCTGCCGAGCACACCGCGGCAGTGTGCTTCTTTAACGGCAGGCGGTTTCCAAGAACTACGGGGGGGCGGCAGATTTCGAAAACGGCGGTGTCACAACCGTCTGAGAAAGCCGCCCCCCATGTGCCGACCTCTCGTGCGCGCCGCCCATCGTGGATCGCAGCGGGAGCTATGCGCGGGGGAGAGGGGCAGGTGAGGGTTATCGGCGGAAGAGAGGGAGAGACGCCACAAGTCTGGGACACCCTCTCGGGGGCCTGCTCCCCCAGCCGGCGTGAGCCAGAGCCCTCGCTGAGCACGACCCGCACGTAGTCGAGGGGTACTCCGGCGGTCTCGCTCAGGGCCTCGCGGAGGGCGAGCTCGACGTACACACCCCAGACAGACTCGCGCCGTGAAACAGAAACCACGGCGGAAACTGTTTGGTCGTTTTCTGGGGACGTCCAGTAAGGGGGGCAGCAAATCACGGCCCGAGGCATGTGCGCGGACGAGGGGGTGACCAGGGGACATGCCGATATAAGAGGAGGAGGCAATGGAATCCTGGAGTGTATCACGGCCCAGGCCACGGAATCGCCCCCGTAGTCATCACCCCTCCCTTGTTCGCCCCCGAATTTGCGGCCTCTAGATGCCTTCGTCGGGCCCGGGAACATTCAAAACAAACGACAAAGAGATAAACCACGCACCAGGGAAAACGAATTTGCGGGGACGCCGCGTTGAAAAAATCAAGACTTCAGATAGTTGGAACCGCGTCGTCTGGTCGGCCAAGAGGTTCGGTGCACAGGCGACTCCGCGTCCACAGCTGTGGGAGGCTGGAACCCCAATGCGCCAATTCCTCTGGTCGGCCGAGCAGCGTGGTGCGGGCGTTGCGTCATGGGGGGGCGATCGTGGGGGGTGGGGGGGGGGGCACGTGCACCTCTCGTGCCCCTCTTGTTGGGTGTCAGAAGGCCCTTTAAGGCCACTAAGGCCTAAGGTGCACAAGAAGTGCACTATTTTTCACCCGCCTCCACGCATCGCCGCCCAACTACGCACCGCACAGTGGGCGTGCGTGTCGGGGCCCTCTGCACCTCGCGAAGGGCGAGCTCGAACCCTGCCAGCAGGGCGTCGTCTTGGAGCAGGCCGCCTGCGCGAGCTCGGCGACGACGACGACGACGACGACGAAGACGACGACGACGACCGAGCCTCAGAGAGACGCCTGCCCCATTGGTCCCCTTCCCGCTCTCGTGCTCCTCCTCCTCCGCGTCTTTCTTGTCGTCGTCGTCCTCGTTTTCGCTGCTCCTTTTTTCGTACTCCCCTTCGCGCGCACGTCGGAAACTCAGAAACACCGAACTGGGGAGGCAAGCCTCGACTTTTTTTCAGCTGACCGCCCTTGCGCCACTTCGCATCGGCATGTCGCAAGGATTTTGGGGGGGCGACATGTTTCCCGACGAACGCAACCGCCAGGAAAACGGGGTACGCCAACTCATAGTGGAACAGTGGGGAGCGTAAGAGGCTACAGGGTAAGATGGCGGAGATGGCAGCACAAGGGACAACACAATGTTTGTTCTCCGCCCGCGCCGCCGCAGGTCACGCGTCGCGGAGACGACACAAGCAAACGGGGTTGCGCCGCGTTGGGCCAAAGCGGCCGCGGGTAAATCAATATGTAGGTTCGCTCCCCCTGGGAACGATCCTGCAAGCTGGACGCGGGGGAAGGGGAGCGAAGACTGCCCGCCACCACCATGGTATACAACCCCAGGGGCGCTGCGCAGTGCAAGTGGATCAGCTAGTGGCAACTCCAGCAACTCAAGCAACGCATCGTGCACGAGATCGGTCGCTGGACAATTAAACTACCGACACAATGCATACATAGACGGATGCCTGGAGCTCGAATCGCGTTTCCGCGATTCCAACGCCAACGTTGACACCATAGCGTTTCGGGCAGGAACAGGATGAATAATTCAGCTCGGACACGACGGACAAGCGTCGGTCCTGAAAACCCAAGAGATGACATATTAGGACCGGTCCCAAATCGGCGAGGATAACAGTGGACCTGGCGGGGATGATGCGACAACGAAATGCGGACATGAGCGCGGAAAGGCGCCGCCAGCGAACAGTCGCGGGCCCGCATCTGCTCGCCATGGTGCCTGCACGAGGGGCCCCGCTCTTTACGCACAGAACGGCTGCAAGTGAGTCGTCACCCAGACCTGTGGGGCCCATTAAGGCGCGTAAACAGACGCGGTCGTCATTTATTGGCGATGGGAAGCTCGGTGCCTCGATGTGGGACATCAGCCTCGACCTTGTGCGCGTGGCCATGAGTATCGGACAACACTTGAAGAACACGGTCGCAGTCAATAGCGCCCTGAGCGTGAACGTCCCCCGCTGAGCGATGTTGACGACGCCGAAGTCGAGAATCTCTCTGAAACAACATGTATCTCAATGGCACCTTCCCAACGGGTGTCTTGAGACACTTGCTAAGAGAGGCCCGCACACCGACGCAGCATTGACGGTCAGATGTATTCAGATACCGAGCCCGCCACACTCACAGAATCAATTGCGTTCAGAAGGGGTAAATTGCCCCTTAATGAGTTACGCAATGTCACGAATGAGGAGCAACGTGCGTCTGCGCTGTGAGCGGCTTTGTGTTCTCGACAACGTAGCTGGAACTAGCCCGATGGCGATGAATTTTGCAGAGTCGATCGATGCAATGCACGAGATTCCCCCGCGCCGCTCGCGTCCCCAAGAGCGCTAGCGGGCGTTATAAAAGAGGGGGGGCAAAGGGGGTATAACGTAACGAACCTCCCCGCCGTGTGGCTCCAGCGCCACAGGAACGATTTTTTGATTTTCTGGGGTAGTGGCCGTCGTCGGCCCCGCCAGCCCCCCCCAGATGACGTCACGTTCCACGCCGGCGGCGTCCAAGAATACCTACGGATGACCGAAACCAAATAGGAAAATCATGTAAGTGGCGATCTGCCCCACAACGCGTGTGTACACCACGATGCTCGCGTGCACCACAGCGCGCGTGTACACCTCAACGCCTGCGTACACCGCAACAGCCGCGTGCAACGCAGCCCCAGTGTACACCACAGTGCTTGCGTGCACCACAGCGCCAGTGTACACCACAGCGAATGTGTACACCGCACCAGCGATGTGCAACACAGCGCCTGTGTACACCACAATGCTTGCGTGCACCGCGGCGCCTGCGCACACATCCCACCACGCCTGTCTACGGTTCAGCATCCGCGTGCAAAGCATCGCTGGTGTACACCATAGCGCCTGCGTGCACAAGACAGGTAAAACGAACATGTGTGTGAGGATGTGCTGCGGAGAGCTAAACACCACGCCAAAAAAATCTTGGTAATATAATGGGACGTGCATCCCTCCTCTCTCCTCCTCAACCTCCACCTCTTCCTCCTCCTCCTCCTTTTTATCTTCCCTTTCCTCCTCATTCTCTTCCTCCCGCTCCCTCACCCTTCCCCCTGTCGTGCGGGTCTCTCGGACGGCCAATTCTATTGGAGCTTCCTGGACGCATATGGGAAGACTCCGAATGATGCGGGGCGACTCGTAAATTCCAGCGGCGCTCTTTTTTCCATAAGGATTCCTTCCCAAATCCAATATTTAACGGCTTCTCCTGTGGAATCCACAGGCCTTCCATTTTGCCATCGGTGCTCTTTCTTCAATTCTGTATGCAACAGTGGTGCTCTGTTGTACACGGTTGCTGTAGTGCACACAGGCGCCGTGGTGTATACAGGCGATGTTATGCACGCAGGCATCGTGGTGTACACTGGTGCTGTGTACACGGCTCAGGTGGTGTGCGCACGCGATGTGGTGTACACAAGCGATGTGGTGCCCGCAGGCACTGTGGCACACACTGGCGTTGTGTTGCACGCGGCTGCTGTGGTCTACACGATGTGGTGTATACAAAAGCTGTGGTGCCCGCGGACAAGGTTGTGTACACAGGCGCTGAAGCGGATCGCATCCTACGTGCTGCTGTTAATTACCCGTCCTCGATCATTCCTACGCATTCCTTGACGCCACCGGCGCGAACGGCGAAGTTTTCGGCCCCGCCCCTCCCCTCCGTGACGGCCGTCATCGGCCCGGGAAAAACTGCCCCAGTCGCGTCCGCGCGCACGACGACGACGAGAGACGAGCGACGAGCGACGAAGACGACGGCGACAACTGCGAACCAGACCCCATATACGGCGGGGCGTTACGTTATACAGGGTGGAGGACGGGGGCTATAACGCCCATTATGCCCAAAACAATAAAGAAAATGCTCCCAGGCGCAACAAACGGCAATCTCGATCGCTTCCTATGCCAAAACCAACTTCCCGTCTATAGTGCCATCAGTAGTCGTGGCCCAATCGGTGATTGCTCCCGGTTAGTTGGAACCCATGCAGACAATAATGTCCGTGCGCTTCCACAGAAGCTGTCAAACACGTTGCTGACAATGTTGTTAGCCTTGTAGAGCCGACCGAGTGGGAATGGACAGTGGTGCACGATGCGGTCGTCCTGGGCCGCGGCCGCGCCCCCAAACTCCGTCTTACTATATATCGCAGAACAGTTCGCGCAGGTCCGCTTGTTGAACTTGCGCATGCCGATTACTCGCTTGCTTGGCGCAAGCATAAACGCGCGACCCCGCCCCGCGAGACGCGCAGGGGAGCAGACCGATGGGAGCTATCGGCGTCGACGCGCTGGCCAGACGAAGCGAAATCTGGTGCCTTCTACGACGCGAGCGATGCTCGTGGGGGCCATTGAGGAACGCGCGGGCCAATGTACTCGCAAACGTGGAAGCAATCAAAAGGCGCGGGAAGCCCACCTGGGCCCGTGCCCCCCTGGGTGCCCAGCCGGATAGCTCGACACCGGGCTGCAAACGCGCCGCCCGCGGCGGCGCGCTCGAGCGCGGAGGGCGGGGGCGCGAGATCAGTTTCTCACTGGGCGACCCCGCAAGAGCTGGCGCGAACGACGCCGGCGCGGCGCCCCCCGTCTTCGCGCTCGTCTTCATTTCGCCCCACTCGGCGCGCGTCGCGACCCAGCTCAGCAGCGCCATCCTGCCTTGGCGCAAAACGGCCTCTCGCGCAGAAGAGTCCGACTAACGCCCGCGCATCGTTGACCTGGCGCTGGGCCGCGTCGCTGACGACGGCGCAATTGCCCCGGCGCTGGGCCGCCGAGGCCCGCGCGTCAAGCTTCGCGTCTGCCCCCGTGAACAGAGTCCGCAGTGTCGCCGGAAGGTCCGTTCAGCATCGAACATCTATTTGGGCGGCGCTGTGCGCGGCGAGCCTGGCCGCCGAGGCGGGCGCGCGCAATGGCGCCGTGACCGGTCGGTCCCTGGGCAACCCGCCCGAAGCAGCGGCGTCCTGCGGGGGGCCGCGCGCAGCCGCGACATCTGCTGGGGACACGCCGCCCCCCGCCGCCTCCCGCCGCGGCCTCGTCGGGCCCTCGGGCGCATCCGCGACGGCGGTCGGCGCCCGGGGAGGCGCGCTCGAGAATCGTAGCTGGCCCGAGCCCAGCGACCGCGCAGAAGGGGGGCGGATGCAAACAGAAACACGAGAAAGGACTGCGCGGAACTAAACCGGAAACGCAGTCGAGTCGGCATCGGACTCGAACTCGGCGCCAGATTAATCGGGGCCAGCATGAGTCAGAACAGGATTCAATCCAGATCGGGTCGGGGCCGAGACCAGATTGAAATCGAGTCGGGGTCGAATCGGCCGGGAATCGCCCCGAAAGTAAGTCGGAATGGAATCGCAATCCGAAAGGCAAGCCGCCGCGAAGCGGAGGCAGACGCAACGCGACATTCGAATCGCAATCGCACTCGGCCCGGGTCGGACTCGAAGCACCTGGGAAACGAGACGGGACAGACCGGCGATCGGATCGGAGTCGAATCGGATCTCGGACAGCCGCCGCCATCAAGCTGCCGCCGCGGGGGACCCCTGAAGCGCGCAGCATGGGGGGGGGGAAGGCGGCCGTCGCCGTCGCGTCTCTTCCCCGGTGCTGGGGTCGTGCTCCCACGAGCCAGTCGTTGATGGAGTGCAGCTGGTGGTGATTGCGCTGTTCCGTCACTTACTCAAGAGTCAGGTAGAGGTGCTGCCCAGTTACCTCCGCGAAGTAGAGCTATTGCTATTCGTTGTACTCACGTAGTCCAAGCGC